GAAGACTACTGCCCCTACTTACTATGGTCTCAGCCCAATGGCCAGTTCCAACTAGAGTGCATCCATTGAAACCTGGTTAGTTAACACTTATGTAAGTTTCACTGGTTCAGCAGGTTTAGTCTAATTAGCATCAGCACCTAGATTTGGCCCTGGGGTGGGAATCTTGAAGGTCCTCTGGTGGGACTGCAGCTCCCAGCAGCCTTAACCAGCAGAGCCAATGGTGATGAATGCTGAGAGCTGCTGTCCAACAACATCTGGAGGACCACTGGATTTCCACCATGCTACAGGCCATTATCTTAAGGAAGATGCTCTCTTCTTTGCTCAGAGAAAAGCACATTGGTGAAAAGGGGGGGGGGGGGGGGGGTTTCAGTCACTTCCATGTTCCTCTACCTGTAGAAACTAGGCAAAGTTGACACGATTAAAAGATCATCTGTGGATCCCTGCACACCTTGATTGAGAATTGTTTGTCACGCTCACCAAATGTTGGTGGACTGGACTACCCAGAATTCCTCATCATTGACCAGGCTGGCTAGGATGGAAGAAAGATGCAGTACAACATCAGGAGGGCCATGCAATTCCCACCCTGCTGTACAGAATATCTCTGAACATGTGGGTCTTTGTTTGTATAGCACTAATCCATGAATTGTTCCAGGAACCAGCATCATTCTTCAAAATATCACCTTTGTTTGTCATGTCTCCTAACTCCCTAGAAGGTGTGTTAAAATAAGTGAACTTACCAATCTTCCATTGACAATCAGGGTTAATACAGTTCTATTCCCTAATAGCACATTTTCTGTATTTACCATTTAGCTATTAATGACTTTAGCATCTCCTTCATTATGATTATGAAACCCAATGCATTATACAGCTGAGCAGCAGACTATTGTCATATTATAGCTCTGTTTAATTTCAAAAATATTTTGGAGTATAATTCAACTGTACTAAGTGCTGCTGGCCTACTGAGAATTAAATCACTTTCAACTGAACATAATTATAAGATATTTTTAGTCAACAACAAAATGTATGTGGATGTTGGAAAGTAGAGAGCAAACATTAAGGCATCAAACACAATTTCCAGTGTTTCACTTCAGCAGAAAATTCATTTCAGAAGTAATTAAAATTAAGAAAACATTGGCTGAGCAAGTTTTTGAACTCCTCCATCAGCACATTAGAAAGACAAATACTCTTATTGTCACTAAGTACAGAATCACATTTCAGATCACTTTTTAAAAATTCCTTCAAGAGCTTATTATATGCATCTTCATCAAGATGTCAGATCCAGAGAAAATTTGCACTGTGCTTCTAACATAGTGGAGTTCCACCATTTCCACTGGTGACCCACTGATGGGTATAAGTTACCAACCACTCCTGTGGAACAAAAGTCTTGGAGAGGTCTGTATGACTGACATCCTGCACCAGGGAGGCAAAAGATAAATCTCCACAAATGGAGTTCAGCATTGACTGTGTTGTGAAGTCCTTGTGTTGAATAGCAACACTGAACAATTAAATGTATACCCAAATGCACAACTGAATGCACATCATTCATAGCTTTGATTGGATTTCTGAACATTGTGAAGCTGCTAGTGTAGGACTAGAGTTAAGAGGCAACTGGTGGATTAAAAATACCACTGAAAGTTGTAAAATCTTGGGACAGTTGCCTCTATCTTCAAATCATCTGGAGGACCTAGGCTGTATCCATGCTGCAGAAATAATCCAGGTTGACACCACTTTAACTGCCATGCCTCAATGCTATGGAATTCTGGGAATTGTAGTTTTGTGAGACATTTAGCTCTCACTGTCAGAGAGCTCTGTTGTCACAACTAACTACAGTTCCCAGGATTCTATAGCATTGAGCCATGACAGTTAAAGTGGTGTCAACCTGGATTGTTTCTGCAGTATGAATGCAGAGATTCCAAAAGAAATGTTCTTAAGTAAGAAAAATAGTGTTCATGATTTTTATTTTTGTCCCTTTACTGTCTGGGCTGCTTGGAAACAGAGTCTCCCACTTTTAGCTTTGTTTTTTTTCCAGCCAGGAGGGAGGCTTCCAAGCAGCCCCAAGAGCAAAGAGAGTCTGGTATACACAAAGAGCAAGCTGGGGGCAGGTTTTCTGCCCACAGAAAATTAGGGTTGCCTATTTGATTACATTTACCTTAGTACAAGTACAAAGGATACAACATGGAGTTATATTAAAATGCCTCCCAAAAAAAGTATTGTTATTAAATGTAAATGATAGGCGGGTGTGGATAATTTCACTAACACTAGGACATTAATGACAATATGACAGCTTTAATGCATGAAGAATATTTAATAAAAATGTAATATAATAATATATTACTTATTACATTTGAGCAAGTAATAATATAGCCATATTACTTTTACAAGTAATATGTAATAAGTAATATATTACTTTTCAAAGTAATATTTTACAATGCTGCAGCATTTAAGGTATTTAAAGAGTGTAGTTATGTCACCCTCTTCTCATCACCAAGCTGAACAAGCCCAGTTCCTTCACCCTTTCTTCATATGTTTGTTCTCCATACCTCTTGTCATCCAACTGACCTTCTCTAAACCCACTCCACCTTGTTTATGTGTGTGTTAAAATGAAGTGCCCAGAACTGAATGCACTGCTCCAGGTGAGGCCTGACCAGAACAGAATATCGTGGGATTATTATTTCTTTCATTTTGGAAACTATGCTTCTACCAATGCATATTAAAATAGCATTTGTCTTCTTTGCTATAGCATCACACTGCTGGTTCGTACTTAACCTATTATCATTAATAATCCCAAGATCCTTTTCATATGTAGTACATACTGCTGAGCCATGTATCCCCCAAACTATGCCTGTGCATTCTGTTTTTGTGGGCTAAATGTAAAATTTTGTATTTGTCTCTATTTAATTTAATTTTATTAATTTCTGCACAATCTAGTCCAACTCTTTGCCACTGCAAGAAATCCATAGCAAAAGCATCCCTGAGATATAAGCCACCCAACCTCAGTTTTAAAACCTCCAAGAAAGGAAAGGCCACTGGCTTCTGAGAAAGGCAGTTCGCTGTCCAAAAGCTATTACTCTCAGGAAGTTCTAGCAGGCTAGTAATCACACAGTCTTCCAGATCTTACTGGATAGCAGATCTCAGCAATCCTCACCATTGACTGTGCTGGCTAGGGGTTGCTGGGACTTACAGTTAACACCTTAGTTAACAATGCCTATCTAAGATGCGAAACAGATCGTTCTGAAGGAGTGGCATCATGCTGCTCCTTTGATCACTGGGTTGGGGCTGCAGCAACTGCATGCCACACCCCCACCCAGCTTTTTGCCACCACAAAAAGAAGTGCCAAAAAGCTGCTCCTTTTTGCAGTAGCAAAAAGGTGGCTTTTCCATTGCCACAGTTTTTCAGAGCTCCTGCAGCATGCAGCATATAAATGCTGCACCACCAGAGTGCCATTACACTGCCTGCTGTGTAGTTGGGTGGGCGGTATGATATGGGGCATTGTTTGGGTATGTGACATCCAAACGTTGCCACCCCACGCCATCCCCAATCCAGCTGAAGCTGCTGGTTTATTATTATTATTATTATTATTATTATTATTATTATTATTTATTAATTTTATTTTTATACCGCCCATTGGTAGTCCAATCCAGGCAGTTTACAGCATAAAAATAGCATACAACATAAAATAACATTTTCCTTCCCCCCCTTAAAATGTTATTAAATCACATTATAATTAAAACCATTTAGCAATATAAAAACAGAAATTAAAATTAATACAACTTTGCCCCTAAGAAACTTTTTACAAAGTCTTTTTAAACTTCTCCTCTCTTCCTTGTCCTCTGTCTGGCTTTACTTTTTAAGCAGCTATCAGTATAGCAAAGTTGGTGAAAGAGGGTGGCAGAACAGAAATTTCAAGTGTTGGGTTGCAGCAGTATGTCTGTAGCAAAGGACACAACAGAGGTTCAGTTGGAAAAGAATGGGATACTACTGCAGCCAATCCTCCTGTAGCTGTGTGTGCTTGTCTACAACAGGCAAGGTAAATAGCAGCTGCCTCCAGAATCCCTTATTGGGCATGCACAAAGAGCAAAAAAAGAGAGAAAAAGGGAGGAGGTAAATTTGCCTGACTAGCAACTCTCTGTGTGTGTTTGTGTGTCTTCAAGCTGCCTGTTGCCTTACTGAGACCCTGTGAATTTGATAGGGTTTTCTTAGACAAGAATACTCAGAGGTAGTTTTGTCAGTTTCTACCTCTGGGTATAGCTTATAGAATCTGGTCTTTTTTGGTGGTCTCCCATCCGAGGAGTAGTCTCAGCATGTTAAATTTTATATATTTGGCCACTGCAAATGGGGAAAAAAAACCATAAGAAAAGTGGCGGCTGGTGAAACAATAAAATCCCTGCATTTGTTTTGGAAGGAGCCTTCACATGGACCCTAGAAGGGTCAACTTGTTTTTGTTTATTTATGCAAGATTTCCCTGACCTGGTTGTTTCCTTTCACATATGAACATCATCAGTTTTGGATAAGAATAATAATTAGTAAGACATATTGAACTGCTCTTCTTTGCTGTGGTACAAGAACCTATCCCTATCCATGTTATTTCTGTCTCTGGTCCCAAATTTGCTGTTAAAAAGTCATGCCCAGGAACACTGAGATTAATTAAGGTTTACCTGTACCTCATAATTTTATAATTTAGCACTTTCTGTAATAATGGACCTGCAGTACTGACTGACTAGCTCCCCCTTCCAGCAGTTGCATAGACTTGCTGGGCTTTTGTTGTCCCCTACTAATACCAGTTCCCTGTCCTGCATACTCACAACCATGGGGAACTGGCAGTGAAGGACAACTAACAGCACCAGGCCATCTTGTAGAACTCTTTCAACCCCAACTCCTAGCCTATGAGCAATAACAACTGGAGAAGGACTTTAGTATAAACTGTGAAAGAAGATAAGTGGAACAAAGAACAGTCTTTAAATTGCAATGGATAAACCATGCAATAAAAACCCATACAACCAGTGTGGTGTAGTGGTTTGAGCATTGGACTATGACTCTGGAGACCAGGGTTCAAATCCCAGCTAATCCATGTAAATCCAATGGGTGATCTTGAGCAAGTCACACTCTCTCAGCTTCAGAAGATGGCAATGGCAAACCCCCTATGAAGAAACTAGGCAAGAAAACTCCATGTAGGCTTGCTTTAGGATTGTTATAAGTCCGAAATAACTTGAAGGCACATGACAACAACAAAAATCAGACAATGAGATAATCTTCATAGTTATGTAGAGTAACATGTGTTCTACTAACATTACATGCAGCTTTAAATGTTATTTTTTAATACTATGTTGACCTCTGAAATATACCAAGAGGATGAAATGAATGGCTTTTGTTACATAAGTCCAGAGTGTGGGAAACTTCCTTTTTTTCAGACTAGTTCCCAGAATCCCCAATCATTATTGCTATTTGCCACATTGGTTAGAGGATGCTAAGTTGTAAGTCCCCCAGGGTAACTTTTCCAAACTCTGGTTCTCTGCTCTTTGAGAATGGGAGCGAGGGGATCTCATTTTTTTTTCCAGGGAAGAAGCCCTTGTGGTGCAGTGGTTAAATGCAGGTACCGCAGCCACAAGGTTGTGAGTTCGATTCCAGAGCTCCAAGGTAGATTCATCCTTTCATCCTTTTGTAGGTCAGTAAAATTAGTAATTAGTACCCAGCTTGTTGGGGGCAATTGGCTTACAGGTTGTAAACCTCTTACAGAGTGCTGAGTTCACTATTAAGCAGTATAGAAATGTAAATGCTATTGCTATGATTTGCGCTAGAAAACTACAGTTATACAGTTCAAGACTAATGCTGTGTTGGGTAAACCCATTTACAATGGAATTATGTCATGCCTCTAAACATTTCCATTTGTTCTTAGAGGCACAGGTGGGATGTGAATGGGAGAAGGTATCCACATCTGTCCTGCACAAGGATGCTGAGGATTTCATGGTACTGATCAAATCCATATGTGAATTAAAACCTGCACATGATTTGGTGGAAGTTAAGTGTAATCGAAGCACATTTTATTTCTATCCTGATCTCTATGGTCAGACTTTGGCCCTTGTGGGCAGTGTGCAAAAATATCTAATTTCCCACAGTCAGTTTAATCCCAAATAGTGGTGGACAACATTAGTCTACCCCTGATAGCCCACGTGATATATAGTCAAATACATTGCATGCTTCTTGGGGTACAGCAGCAGTTCCATGAGCACAAAGTAACTTCAGCACAGTCAAACAATTGTAAATCATGACACTTGGAAGTGTGATACCTTATTGGACATTTTAAGCATTAGATGTTTTAGACATTAGACTGGTTACTGAAAAGTCCTACCCCATTCCCGTCTCTCCAGGGCCCCACATTTTATTTTGCATTTTGCATTTTGTTTAACTAAGTTTTCCCTGCCAGAAAACCATGCATTAGTAGAAAAATGTGTTCCATTCAAAAGGTAATTCAAGAACTTATTTTGAAAATGTGTGCATTATCAAAATAAATGTTGCTATATAAAAGCACATCCTTTAAAACATATGCCGTCTCAATGCCCAATTACTTTTGCAAAATTAAGTCCCACAGGCATAATCATGTTACTGAAAACTATTAAGGGGAAATACAATACAGATCATATTTTTATATAATAGCATGTATCAGGGTGTTAGAATTATATACCGACACATCAAACAGACATATAAAATTACTTTTTTTTTTTTACAGAAAGGAAATCTAGCATTATATCTGGAGCATCTACGTTGGGAGATATTGCTTGAAATCAAGATATAGAATATTAAGTATGTTTCTCTAAGATGATTATAACATAGAAAGCATTTCACATTCAAAAAAAAGAAAAAGAAGGAAAAGGGGAAAAAGAGAAAGATTTCTCATGCAGCAACAAATTTAAGTAAGTGAGCCTGGCCTTTATTATGAATCAGACAGATAACACCACAGGCAAAAGAAGCCCATTCCTCTAAATGGAATTATGTGTCCTGGAATCCTGTAGTTTTATGCCCATCTCCAAAACCATAATCCACACCAGACAAACATGGACACAATATCTAGGTACAATATCTATTGTTCTGGGTGACAGGGAGAGTGACAGTACCACCCTATACATTTCTACTCAGAACTAAACTTCCCTGGTTTGAATGAGATTTAGTACCAGTTAAATGTATTTAGTAATCTCACAGATTACCCTTCCCCCACAGGTTGTGTAGCTCACAAATCCCAATGGTCTCCCCTCTCTTCTCCTCCTGCTCCATGACTCCCCTTCCCTGTTCATCTTAGCTGTTTCCCAACAATCTCCTGTTAATCTCCCTGCACTTGTTGCTCAATTTACAGGAGGAAAATGTTACATTTGTCTTATGTGTGTGTTACCCAAAATGCAAGTGTCCCAATAGGCAGTACCACAAGAAGGCAGTAAACAGTACCTCAAGGGGGGAGCTCTGGTGGTACAGTGGTTAAATGCTGGTCCTGCAGCCACAACATTGTAAGTTTGATCCTGGAGGCCTCCAAGGTTGACTCAGCCTTCCATCCTTTTGTAGGTCGGTAAAATGAGTACCCAGCTTGTTGGAGGCAATTGGCTTAGGTAGTGCTAGTCCACTAATAAGCCGTATAGAAATGTACTATACTTGCTATTGCTATTGCTATTGCTATTGCTATTGCTATTGCTACCCTGTCTTAGCCTAACCTGATTGCCTGGTGATTGCTTCAGTATTTCTTTGGTCCAGAGATGTCCTAGACATCATTGTAATGGAAATGGCACCTCTTAGGGCCAGGGAAGAGGCCTCATTGGCCTTTCTAATGGCTGCTTCTGTCTTCTGATCCTCCATGACCTTAAGTGCATCCTCTCCATCCCTGACATAGGCTGAAGAGGACACCAGTACTGAAACAGGGGCACCAGTCAAGACACTTGTACAGTAATTTGAAGGCTGCATTGTTAGGCAAGTTGTAATTTTTAAAACACATCCTGGGTTTGGCCTTTTGGTGGCAGACTTGTTCTACTGTAGCACCGAATCCTTAGGGGAATTTTATAATTAGCTCAAATA